TACAATTAAAGTGAGGCAAAACCCAAAGTGCAAGTCCGAAAGAAGCCTCTGTGCATCCGCCTCGCTAGCTGCAAGGGTGCAAACATGGAATAACAATCAGATGTACCTGTTAGTGTGTGTTATCATGCGAATAAGACGGGCCCTGCACGTTAAGCGCATTACCCCACTTAATTGATCAGCAGTGCATCTCACCACTCCCCAGAACAGAAGTTACATCTAACAGTTCCCCTATACTTCCATCAAAACCTCAACCTTCACACTTATTTTTGAGAGAGGAAACCGTAGATCGCAATTTCTAGCACCACCAGCAAAGATGTCCTTGTTCCCGGAAAAATACAGAACTGGTCCTATCATGCGCGCGCAATTATCCCAGGCCTTGTGCGCAAAGGAATCTGAGGAAAATCTACGATCACAACCGCTCTACAAAATAAGTTCCGAGTCCGCATACAGTCAAAAAAAGTCCCAATCGTGTGAGAGAAAAGGAGTTTCTGCTATTGTGAGCCTAACGCCCCCCCCCCTTTTTTTTTTCTCTCTCGCAAAAAAAAGAATGGGCGAGGGAAAAGTGACGAAATGAGGCAATCCAGTCATAAACAAAGAAAAGAACAAACGCATTTGTAGATGAACAATGGAAGTGTTGGTACTAACAGTACTACTAGAAACCAGTACCATAAAATACGAGTTTGGGACTAGCACAGAATGACTACTACTACTACTGCTACTACATCAAGTATGCCTGCATTTAATTACTGCCTTTGGCAGCCGATCACATACAGAATAATGCATAAACATGCACAAGTGCTAACAAGAAACAAGCTCAAAATGCTGCTCGAACAAATCTCTGCAAGTTATTCCGAAGAAACTACTGTGGGTCCCTGTGAATATTTCCTGCATTTCGCTTACAGTAATTTTGTAACAGAGCCTTTTTTTTGAGGGGATATAGTGGAATCACTGAAATGCATTTTATGAGGTTTATCGTGCCAAGCCGAACATACAAAATAAGATCAATGATACAGTAACTGAAATAAGAGCCAATATACAATAACCAAAATAATGTCAAAATAGAATATCCAAAA